CGTGGCAGCGCCAGGACGCGCCACATCCTCGGGCCCAGGCTTCGCTCCAGGAGCCGACCCAAAGAAAATAATCCGGACGTTGAAGGAGATGGGTCCGGAAGTAGTCACCGCCGCTTAAGGGAAATGGTTTAATAAATCTTGGCACCTCAGCACAGTGGAGGGTTATTTTCTCCCTTCTGGCGTTCCTTAAGGCCGCCAGCGACTAGGCACACAAAAGTGGGAATAAGCCGGCGCTTTCCCCTGGGGGGCGGTTCACAAGCAAAATGACGGCCATTAAGGGCACAGACTCCGGAGCCAGGTAGCCGCGGGTCTGAACGCGGGTCTGCCTCCTCATCTGTGAGAGGGGACCCCAGGGGGAAGGGGTGAGGGTTCAGGAGGTGATGCCCATCAGGCACTCGGCACGTAGGTACAGCTCCCGACAGTTACCACCTATCGTTCTTGCTGTTACGATAGGAATGTGATGTGCAAACTAGGATGCAGGCACAGAGGAGCATGGGCAAAGTGCCACACCGCAAGGGCACAGAAGCGGCTCGGAGTACCCAGGAGAGGGCTGCTAAGCGCCACAAGAGAGGAATGAACAAGCTCTGAGCACAGAGAATGATGCTTTTAATCCTGCCTGGGGATGTCACCAGAGGCCCCCGTGGGTGATGGCTCAGCTGGGACTTGAAGTTTGTATAGAAGTTGCTGATGGATAAGAAATGAAAAGGCATTTCAGGCAGAAGCAAATATGCGGGCCAAGAGGAGGAGAGAAGGGGCAAGGTGAATTCTAAGAACAACTTCTAAGTGTCTTGTGGAGAAGCAGATTCGTGTCCAGAGTTACAGCTCTTCACTATGTGCCTCTGTCCTTAGCTGTATGTGTGCCAAGCTAGCCCTCCCTCTGTGACCACTTAGACCTTGGCTCTGCACACTCAAGACCCCACCAGGCACAGCCTCTATCAGGGCAAAGTCCACAACCTTTCAGTGACCACCTCAACCCTCTCAAGATGCTCTGAGGCCAGCATCAAAAGGGAAGGCTCTGGGTCTTTATCTTTTTCTTCCCACAGTGGTTCTCCACCCCTATGCAAATCTGCTCACCCTTTCCCAGCAAACTTTGAGCTTTTCACATCAAGGAGTAGGGGCAAGCCACTTTTATGTCCACTGACTCAAATCCAAGTGAAAAGACCCCCAAGTTCTTGAAAGAAGGGACAGTGGTGAGAATATTAATCATAATAGTTAACAAACATGGTAACTTCCTCTCCACCGAGCACGTCACCGACACTTCTCTATCAATCACTGGTCTTATCCCCTGGGTTTAGATGGTGCTGCCGAGTTGAAGTGATCTGCTCAAGGCCACCCAGCTAGTGATGGTGAATCTGAGGTTCAAACCCCGGGCTGCCTTACCCCCGAATCCATCCCCTTACCCCTAGGCCATGCTATTCAAGAAACTAAATTTGTCTAGCAAGGGCTTTGATCAAGAGTAGGGAGAAGGCAGGGCTCCTGACCTCTTCACTTGGAGGACAGGCTCACTGGTGAGGTGGTCACCAGCCCATCAGGGACACAACCACAGACCCAAGTGCCACACGTTGAGTATCCTCTATACTCCAGACACTGCCCTGCATGCCGTGTCTCTATCAGTTAGGTCCCAGCGCGAAACCAATACCACACAAGTTCTTTCAACCGAGGGAATTTAATAAAGGAGATCTGTTTTGCAGCTTGGACTTTCTGAGGAACCAAACAAGGTGGCAAGGTGACCAGAGATTTTAGTTACAGCAGGAACTCACTGCCACACAAGGGCCAAGACAGGAAAAGACACAAAGAGGTGAGGTTACCAGAGCCCATGGTTCAGGCCACCTGGAAGGAGCTGAAACCACAGCGGAGATGTAGCCACTGCCAGGGAAGCCACCAGAAGCATGAGGTGGGATGGGAAGGGGCACCCTGACAACTACCCTCCGAGGTACTTACTTTTATCCCACTTTAGAGATAAGGAAACTGAGTCTGGGAGAGTTAAGTGACTGACCCAACCAAAGTGAAGGTCAGTGAAGCCCTGATTTAAACCCAGGTCAGTGTGTCTGTCTTCACAGCTCAGGCCAAACCAGTCACCTCAGGGGCTTTGTGAACCACAGCGAATTCAGCAACAACAGAAGACAATTTAGGAGCCACCATTTCCCGAAGACTTGATCAGTGTGGGGTCAGGGACCAAGGGCCCAGGGGTGACAATGGTGCTCGGCTTTCTCTCCTCTTCTGTCCCCCCCAGTCCCAGCTGTAGCCCACAGAGGAAAGTTAAGCCACAGCCAGGACTCTGGGTGTTGGGACTAAGGGTGATTTTTATTTTTTCCTTGTGCTCTTCTGTATTTTCCAAAACTTCCCAGAGGAACGTGCACATCCTCATTAATGAGAAGGACAGAGAGTCTCCAGGCATCACAGAAAAAGTAGCAGGCCCCAGAGAAGCCTTTAGCAGACAAAAATTGGGGCAAAAGATGATGACAGGAGGGAAGACTGGCCAACGCAGACAGCTTGTCACTGTCCTGCTGCTGCCTCCCCTGGGAGGGGACACGACCAGGAGGGGACATGCCATGGTGTGGGCTTCCCTCCAACACACACACACACACACACGACACACAAATGTACACACAAAAACACACGTGTGCTCTTATAAACTGAGACACACACACATACACACACATTTGCTTACATGTACACACGAAACACACATATAAACACACATTCCCACGCATACACATATCCACACGTGCACACACCCTAACACACACTTGTATAGTTACACATGCCAAACAAACCTCTTGCACACATGCACGCACACACGGACACACACAGGCTCGTTCTGCTTTACTTTGTAAACGGGACTTGGCAAAATTCCCCTGTCACCATGTCTCCCAAAGTATCATCTGGCTTCCCTGGAGCGGCTCCGGGTGACACGGCCCAGGGTCGGGGACGCGTGCCCCTCAGGGGTGGGCTCCAGGGAGCACCTCCCCCTGTGACTTCGGCTGGGGTCACCCTGCATAGCTGCCCCCACTCTCAGGAGGGGCTGCTGTTTGCAGAGTCCACAGACAGGCCCCTGGAATCAGCATGCTTGGGCCAAGCCCCTGCCCCTCAGTTTGCCTCAGTTTCCTCATCTGTGGAAGGGGCCTCCAGCTTTAGAGACCCAGCACAGTGGGCCCCCCCTGTGCCGCATCAGGGCCTTGTAGCTCGAGCTGCAGACTCAGGGCCTCCTGACCCTGCAGGCGGCTGGAGGGGAATTTAATTCAGAGGCTGAAGTGCACCCACCACAGTCATTGTGGCTATAAATACATATGTAGTCACTCATCAGAGAGCCCAGGTGGCAGGGACAGGGGTAGGGGGGTGGGAAGGGGAGGCGGGGGTGGGGGGCATGGGGAGAGAACACCCCCAGCAGTGCATTCACCCTCTCTGGCTCCCTGCAGGTTAACCGCAGCCCCACTCACCAGAAACATCTGCCTGCATGTTTCCTAGATGACAGTCTGAGCAGCAAAGGGCCTGGGATGGGGGAGCCAGCTGGGAGCTGACAGCCTCCAGGAGGTCTAGAACAGGAAGGGGGTGGCCCGCACTGTACCTGCAGGTGTGGGGACAGGGTCTCATGGGCAAGCCTGTGGCTTGTAAGCCCCAAGGCAGGGGACCTGCTCAGAGAAAGCTAAGATTCCGCTACAAAGTGAGATAACCTTCCAAAGTGGGTGCCCCTCAGAGACTGAATTTAGAGGTTTTGCCTCGTTAGAGAAAGATCTTTCCCGTTACATCACAGGATGGTTGAGGACAGGAAATCAGCTTGAAATGACCTGAACTCAACATCCCTTAGAAGAGGGGAAGTGAGCCCCCAGTGATCCAGGAGTAAGGAGTGGGCCCACCAGGAAAGAGGTAATCCCAGGGTGTCCAGAGTAGTGCTGCACTTTGACCCTGGTGAGAGAGCCCCTGCCCCGAGCATTGGGCCCTATAGAGCCCCAACTCTGGCTCTTCTGGGCCATGCTTCTCCCTACAGAGTCAGGAGCTGGTGAGGCCACGGGGAGATGCCCAGCTAGATGATCCTACGTGCCCCTTCTTTTAGGGTAAATCCCTAGGCCCAAGGAGTGGTCCAGGGGCCGCTGTCTGCAAGATGCCTACCGCGGTAGCTGCGGCAGCCAGGGTCCCAATGGGAAACCAGAGCCCAGGCCAAGTGGTTCAATAGTAAATTAACACAAGGTAGCAGTAGCTGAAAAACTAACAGGGGTCAGCGAAGAAGCCTAGATCTTAGAAGCAGTAAGAAACTGCTGCTTCCCTAGGGCTGGAGGGACAAAGTAAGAGAGGGTATTATCAGGAGCTGGACCCATGCCCAGCAGGAGCTGGAACCGTGGACGGGACACAGCCACAGCTGGAGTCACCACTCCGGGCAGGGAGGTCTGCGGGGAACCTTACCCCGGCTTCTCCCTTCCTCCCAGGCGCCACTCTCCCTCCAGTGCTTCCCATTGGCTGAAGCCACAGGAAGCCCGCGTGCAAGGGAGCCTGGGAAATGTAGTCCACAGGGTCTGGCTCCGCAACCCGGCGGAGCGAGGGAGGGGGAGGGGGAATCTGATGGCGAATAAGAGGACTGTAGCTAATGGCTCATCTGCACCATGGAGAGGAGACGGTCGGCTACGCCTGCCTGACGGCAGGAGACTGCCTCTGCTGACACTTTGGCGTCTCCTCTGATCCATACAGCAGCGGAGGGGTGAATCTTGAGGGAGCAGACGCTGTCACCCTCTCCCCATCAGGAGAGAGTGGGGGAATGACCTTGTGGGCACTTCAGGTCACTTGACCTAGGGTCTGGGGAGTTAGCACAGCTGGATTCCAACCCTTGACCCTCCTTGCACAGTGGCTCCTGAGTGGCCCTGGCAGCCAGAGCTGGGCATCTAACTCCTGGTCAGCAGAGTGACGGTCAGCATGGGAGTGGGAGGCAGTTGCTGTTGGCGAAGCGTTTAGGAGACGAGGCACTAAGCTTCATGCTTTAGGTGGACTGTTTCCTTCTTTTAATAATCTCCAGCCTCTAAGATACACACCAAGTGTGTCCCCATAAAACCCAGGAAAAAAATTCTTAGAGCCCCCCCAGAATTAAAAAGTGAGTCCCAGGTGTCCACAAATAACTGAGCAAATTCAAAATCCTGAAACTGAAAAATGCAAACCTCCTAAGTCTGTGCACGTGTAACGTGACTGCTTGAGGCCAAACTAGACCTTCAGGGGTCAACATGATTGTCTATTAAGTAGATAGGAAAAAAATTCAGTTCTGCATATGTTCTATGTAACAAGCATGTGTCAGCACTACTGCTGTTTTCAATATTTATTGTGATTCAACATCATAAATTTTTCAC